TATGACTAATGATGATAATGGAATTATACGGGGGGAAAAGATATATAATATACAAAATATAAGATGACTTGAATTGTATTGCACAGAGAATGGTGGTTTTGAATGAATCTGTACTCAGGAATCATTATTGGCATATGTATAAGTGTATGAATATTTTAGAGGGAAAGGTATATGTTCAGGTCTTGAATTTTGTGGTAATTTTATGATAATTACATCAACATAACCCTAACCTAAATATGTCCTCGCTACTCGTGAGTCAAGATACAGCATATTTGCTAGAAAAAAGATGAGAAAACGGGAAAATGCCGTTTTGGTTTATCTGGTTTCAAAACTCTCCCAGATTTGTTTCGGATTGAAATTGATGCGCACCTGAATCCGCTTAATCCAAGGACCGTTTCAACAATATGGAACACGAACAAACCTTATATCTTCCATCCAAGTCTAATATAAAGAATAACTGAATGACGCCCTGGGCGATGATTCCATCGACACCTGCCCTATACCGTTTTCTGGGAAACAATGAGGTGATTCATAGAAGAAAGATGGGAATTCATAACTTGAAGATTGGAAAAAAGTGACTGAACATATTATGAGAGATTATTTTTTCACTTTACTGAAAATTTACCTATATATTTCCATATAATAGGTATATGTCGAGGTATATGTCTATTATGAATATGATACCTACTTCTTGGGGTTATAATAGAAAACAAACAAGTTTTCAACTGATTATATCTCTCATCATCATTATAATTTATAAACAGTAAAGAATTTCATCTACCAGAACCCTGGGATTCACATAAAACATGTAACATTTTATCAATATAATTTCCTTCGATAACAACATGTTCTTCACAAACTCAAAATAAAATTCTATCATTAACCAAAATAAACTCAAAATAATGTTATGGAAAGATGAATATATAACCAAAAATGTATTGTTCAGATTAAAAGTAGAGCCATCCCCAATTGTATCTGCCCATAATAATTAAATAGCTTCTTCGACTAAGTATATAAATTCACCATTTCCTTGGACTACATATAGGTGATTTTTTCGAGAGCTTCTATGACAGTCTTCCTACTATGTACCTGTAAAATGATTTTTGACACTAAGTTTTTGTATCAAGAATATTCGCGAGATTCACGAAGTGGGCGAAATCTAGGTTACATAATACGAACTTCAAACTGGGGGAAAACAAACTGTTGTCTATGGATATAGTGCATAGACTACATTGCATACATCTTGCAGTAGCTGTAGTTGTCAAACTTGTCAATGACATAAAGTGTTATCACTCTTATCAGTACACAGTACACTTCAATTTCACTTCATGTGGGGAAGATTTCATCGCCGGAGTTTGTAGAAAAAGTGTCTTTTGTTAAAGTCTTCTGCCTCACACAAAATCACATGATTAGCACGGAGAACTGCTTCTTCTTCCACTACTGGTCGGCTATCATTATTATTATTATTATTATGTCACGAAATGTAAAAACTTATCACTCTTAGCATATAAGTGCTCCTATTGGTAATAAACGCATATAGCTGGCTTTTGGTGCCGATATCTCAAAAAGTATTCGTCCTATCGACTTGCTATTGGTCTCATTCGATTCAGCAGATCATTTTCTATAAGAAAAGTGATAATTCGCGTGAATTTCCGCCGTTTTCCGGCACTTTCGGCCGTCCGAAGGTGCCTCGGTCGTTACTTCGTATGGGACTGTTAGGGGGAAAAATAAAAATTTTTATTCGGCGTATTAAAAATCTGAAAAAATTCATGTAGACTAATTCGAGGTCGTAATGAAAGAATCTATGGTGGAAATCGGGAAATTCTGGAAGATAGAGGTTCAGTGGCCTTCGGAAGTGCTCTTATTGGCAATAAACGCATATAGCTGGCTTTTGATGCCGATATCTCAAAAAGTATTCGTCCTATCGACTTGCTATTGGTCTCATTCGATTCAGCAGGTAATTTTCTATAAGAAAAGTGAAAATTCGCGTGAATTTCCGCCGTTTTCCGGCATTTTCAGTCGTCCGAAGGTGCCTCGGTCGTTACTTCGTATGGGACTGTTAGAGGGAAAAATAAAAATTTTTATTCGGCGTATTAAAAATCTGAAAAAATTTATGTAGACTAATTCGAGGTTGTAATGAAAGAATCTATGGTGGGAATCGGAAAATTCTGGAAGATAGAGATTCAGTGGACTTCGGAAGTGCTCCTATTGGCAATAAACGCATATAGCTGGCTTTTGATGCCGATATCTCAAAAAGTATTCGTCCTATCGACTTGCTATTGGTCTCATTCGATTCAGCAGGTCATTTTCTATAAGAAAAGTGATAATTCGCGTGAATTTCCGCCGTTTTCCGGCACTTTCGGTCGTCCGAAGGTGCCTCGGTCGTTACTTCGTATGGGACTGTTAGGAGGAAAAATAAAAAATTTTATTCGGCCTATTAAAAATCTGAAAAAATTCATGTAGACCAATTCGAGGTCGTAATGAAAGAATCTATGGTGGAAATCGGGAAATTCTGGAAGATAGAGGTTCAGTGGCCTTCGGAAGTGCTCTTATTGGCAATAAACGCATATAGCTGGCTTTTGGTGCCGATATCTCAAAAAGTATTCATCCTATCGACTTGCTATTGGTCTCATTCGATTCAGCAGATCATTTTCTTTAAGAAAAGTGATAATTCGCGCGAATTTCCGCCGTTTTCCGGCACTTTCGGCCGTCCGAAGGTGCCTCGGTCGTTACTTCGTATGGGACTGTTAGGAGGAAAAATAAAAATTTTTATTCGGCCTATTAAAAATCTGAAAAAATTCATGTAGACTAATTCGAGGTCGTAATGAAAGAATCTATGGTGGAAATCGGGAAATTCTGGAAGATAGAGGTTCAGTGGCCTTCGGAAGTGCTCCTATTGGCAATAAACGCATATAGCTGGCTTTTGGTGCCGATATCTCAAAAAGTATTCGTCCTATCGACTTGCTATTGGTCTCATTCGATTCAGCAGATCATTTTCTATAAGAAAAGTGATAATTCGCGTGAATTTCCGCCGTTTTCCGGCACTTTCGGCCGTCCGAAGGTGCGTCGGTCGTTACTTCGTATTGGACTGTTAGGGGAAAAAAATAAAAATTTTTATTCGGCGTATTAAAAATCTGAAAAAATTCATGTAGACTAATTCGATGTCGTAATGAAAGAATCTATGGTGGAAATCGGAAAATTCTGGAAGATAGAGATTCAGTGGCCTTCGGAAGTGCTCCTATTGGCAATAAACGCATATAGCTGGCTTTTGATGCCGATATCTCAAAAAGTATTCATCCTATCGACTTGCTATTGGTCTCATTCGATTCAGCAGATCATTTTCTTTAAGAAAATTGATAATTCGCGTGAATTTCCGCCGTTTTCCGGCACTTTCGGCCGTCCGAAGGTGCCTCGGTCGTTACTTCGTATGGGACTGTTAGGAGGAAAAATAAAAAATTTTATTCGGCCTATTAAAAATCTGAAAAAATTCATGTAGACCAATTCGAGGTCGTAATGAAAGAATCTATGGTGGAAATCGGGAAATTCTGGAAGATAGAGGTTCAGTGGCCTTCGGAAGTGCTCTTATTGGCAATAAACGCATATAGCTGGCTTTTGGTGCCGATATCTCAAAAAGTATTCGTCTTATCGACTTGCTATTGGTCTCATTCGATTCAGCAGATCATTTTCTATAAGAAAAGTGATAATTCGCGTGAATTTCCGCCGTTTTCCGGCACTTTCGGCCGTCCGAATGTGCGTCGGTCGTTACTTCGTATTGGACTGTTAGGGGAAAAAAATAAAAATTTTTATTCGGCGTATTAAAAATCTGAAAAAATTCATGTAGACTAATTCGATGTCGTAATGAAAGAATCTATGGTGGAAATCGGAAAATTCTGGAAGATAGAGATTCAGTGGCCTTCGGAAGTGCTCCTATTGGCAATAAACGCATATAGCTGGCTTTTGATGCCGATATCTCAAAAAGTATTCATCCTATCGACTTGCTATTGGTCTCATTCGATTCAGCAGATCATTTTCTTTAAGAAAATTGATAATTCGCGTGAATTTCCGCCGTTTTCCGGCACTTTCGGCCGTCCGAAGGTGCCTCGGTCGTTACTTCGTATGGGACTGTTAGGAGGAAAAATAAAAAATTTTATTCGGCCTATTAAAAATCTGAAAAAATTCATGTAGACCAATTCGAGGTCGTAATGAAAGAATCTATGGTGGAAATCGGGAAATTCTGGAAGATAGAGGTTCAGTGGCCTTCGGAAGTGCTCTTATTGGCAATAAACGCATATAGCTGGCTTTTGGTGCCGATATCTCAAAAAGTATTCGTCTTATCGACTTGCTATTGGTCTCATTCGATTCAGCAGATCATTTTCTATAAGAAAAGTGATAATTCGCGTGAATTTCCGCCGTTTTCCGGCACTTTCGGCCGTCCGAATGTGCGTCGGTCGTTACTTCGTATTGGACTGTTAGGGGAAAAAAATAAAAATTTTTATTCGGCGTATTAAAAATCTGAAAAAATTCATGTAGACTAATTCGATGTCGTAATGAAAGAATCTATGGTGGAAATCGGAAAATTCTGGAAGATAGAGATTCAGTGGCCTTCGGAAGTGCTCCTATTGGCAATAAACGCATATAGCTGGCTTTTGATGCCGATATCTCAAAAAGTATTCGTCCTATCGACTTGCTATTGGTCTCATTCGATTCAGCAGATCATTTTCTATAAGAAAAGTGATAATTCGCGCGAATTTCCGCCGTTTTCCGGCACTTTCGGCTGTCCGAAGGTGATACACAGTACACAAGCTAATGGCACTAATGGGATTGAGTGAGGATTGAGTTTGTTTTCCCCCAGTTTTGACGTGGCTTTGACATTGAACGATGAAAACCGAGCGCCACCTAGTAACATTGATTTCCGCGAATAGAGTATCACTAATCTAGTCTGTTCTAAGATCGAAGCCTTTCACGTTTGACTCAAAAACGACTTAACCGTCTTGACATAGTTGTTCCAATAGCCCCGAAAGCGGCTTGGGCACGTCGCACACCTCGCTGCCGGGCGCCGATTCCGATCCGGATCACGATCACGATCAGTACGACGGGCGTGCCGGCGATCCAGAGAGCGAGTACTACGAGGCCGATCTGCTGCCCACCATCGGAACGTGCAAGGCCCTGTATTCCTTCGAAGGTATGTCGTTCGATTTGAAGATCCTAATCATCTATACTACACCTTAAAGTATAAGATGTAATTCAGAAAGTATAAGTTGTAATTCAGAATAGTTAATTGTAATTCAGAAGGTATAACTTGAAGTTCAGATCAGTTGATTGTAATTCAGAAAGCGTAATATGTAATTCAGATTAGTGAAATGTAATTCAGAAAGTGTAACTTGTAATTCAGAATAATGAAATGTAATTCAGAAACCGTCGATTGTAATTCAGAAAGCATAACTTGTAATTCACAAAGTATCACTTATGATTCAGAAACTACGAACAACCCGTATGCATTCATTCTCCATGAGAACAACGACTTGTTTATCTTGAACAGAATATTGACCAGGCCAAAGATTGGTTACGGCGGGCCATGCATTACAGAGTAGAAATAATGATCTAATGTTTTTGCAAGAACATGTTTCAATTGTGTTTTCTCACGCACAATTCTTGACTACTGAGAGCGAGAAAAATATGGACGCATCCAGAATGAATTGTTTTTCCGAGAACAAGTTGATTTTCATTCAATTCTCCTCCCAACCAAGATTCGAAGGGCGTTCCAGATTTGGGTCACTTTCAAGAAAACTCTAGATCTTTGATAGTCATCTTGAGTCAATTCTGATATTCAGATATCTTCATCTGAAGTTTTATCTTCAAAATGAGCCTAAGATTTCCAAAATCGGTTGACGTAAAAAAAAGTTATGGCTGCAAAACCAAAAAGTTGATTTTTTGAGATCACCCTGTAAATAAGAGAGATAGGAAGTTGATTCGCGAAATATCTTGAGGTAATGAGATCATCTTTATGCCTCTGTTGTCAAAGTTGAGAAAAACAATTTTTTCACCATTTGAGAGCCTTTTGAATTATCCGAAATTTCGCACAGTGTCGGAAAACACCATGTAGAGATTTTATGTGAATACCCACATGTTTCAATGGAGTACGAGATTATAGCTGAAGGACTGGGCTATCGAACAGTGTGAACCAAATTCAAATTGTTCTAAACTGAAAAAAGTTATTCACATTATAACAGGGGCGACATTTTCGTGTGCGACGAAATTAGTGTTGAGTAGTTTATTATATTCTTCACCAATTTGTTTCATGTTTCAATTGTGTTTTCTCACGCACATTCTCGAGTACTGAGAGCGAGAAAAATATGGACGCATCCAGAATGAATTGTTTTTCCGAGAACAAGTTGATTTTCATTCAACCGCCACACTCACTCACTCTTTGGCATCATTAGAACACCGTAGAAAGGTCGGCGACCTTTCACTTTTCCATCGATACTTCCACGGGAAATGTTCTTCGGAAATCTCTGCTATCATCCCTTCACTAGCAATACCAATCAGACGAACTAGACAAGCCCAGTCAGCACATCCTTTCGTTGTCAACCTCGAAAGATGTCGAACAGCACTTTATCAAGACTCCTTCATCCATAGAACGGCTAGGCTCTGGAATTCATTGCCTGTGGAAGTGTTCCCAACAACATATAATCTCCAAAAGTTCAAAAAAAATTCCAATACCTACCTCCTGTCCCTATCCTCCCTAGGAACGCACGATGTTCTTTGAACATTATAGGGATTCCCTCTCGTGCGCTCCAAGCGATAAAAAAAAAAAAAATTCTCCTCCCAACCGAGATGCGGAGGGCGTACCAGATTTGGGTCACTTTCATGAAAACTCTAGATCTTTGATAGCCATCTTGAGTCAATTCTGATATTCAGATCTCTTCATCTGAAGTTGTATCTTCAAAATGAGCCTAAGATTTCCAAAATCGGTTGACGTGGAAAAAAGTTATGGCTGCAAAACCAAAAAGTTGATTTTTTGAGATCACTCTGTAAATAGGAGAGATAGGAAGTTGATTCGCGAAATATCTCGAGGTAATGAGATCATCTTTATGCCTCTGTTGTCGAAGTTGAGAAAAACATTTTTTTCACCATTTGAGAGCCTTTTGAATATTCCGAAATTTCGCACAGTGTCGGAAAACACCATGTAGAGATTTTATGTGAATACCCTTATGTTTCAATGAAGTACGAGATTATAGCTGAAGGACTGGGCTATCGAACAGTGTGAACCAAATTCAAATTGTTCTAAACTGAAAAAAGTTATTCACATTATAGCAGAAGCGACATTTTGGTGTGCGACGAAATTAGTGTTGAGTAGTTTAGCTCACCACCGCAAACCGTTTCTTGCTGTGAGCTCCCTACGTTTTATAAAAAATTATTAAAATCCCCTATTTTTCGGACCTCTGAAAACGAGGCGATGATGTGACGTCAAAACCCTAATACTGAAACAAGACCATTCCAGACAGAGATGAATGATACATGATTTCTGACAGAGTGAATTAGCGCGAGATCACAGTTGAAAGAATTAGTATATCAGTTGCCTCAGTCTCCGTCGGGCGTTTGGTATTTTCCTTTAACTATGGCGAGATGAGGTTTCTACTTCATAAGAGGGTCCGTTTTCAGAAGTTACTATTATTTATGTCCAAAAATGAAACATTCCAGTTAATTTTTTGATCAAATTATGTCGTCAATCATTATTTATGTATAAAAGGATCATTATAAACATGGTTTGAGTTAAAAGTTCTACTAAGGTGTACACGCACAATGTTGGAGGTGATTGTGCTAGGGCAAGACAACACACCACCAGTCACCATGCTGCAGCTCTGGTATTTCAAGATATGTCCGTTGGTCGATAAATATAAAATATTGATGTTCACCACACAATATACCATTTCATGAATCACAAGTGATGCTTTCTTAATTACAAATTACACTCTATGAATTACAATTGACTATTCTGAATTACAAGTTACACTTTCTGAATTACATTTCACTAATCTGAATTACATTACCAGACATTCACAAGTACTCAACATGTCAAACCATTCGACTGCTCTGTTTGAACGCAGTTTCACCTATAATGCTGTAAAACTTTTCAATTCTTTCAAACCAGAATTAACAACACCATTGAATAAATTCAGAAAATTCGTTAAAAATGAACTGCTGAATCAACAAGACTAGTCACATTGTTACTTTCTTAAATTAACTTCCTTTTTTTCTATCTATGCATTTATTACATACCTTTTTCAGATCGATTTTATCTATTCTCTTCTATCTATACATATACCATACTAAAAACATTGTATAATACTTTCATTTCAGTTTTTTGTTCATTCTGTAAACTGAAAAGGTTAAGAGTTCAAGAGTAGCTATTTAGCTAATCTTCGCCTTTTCAGGGCAAATGCGTGTACATTTGTCAAATAAAGTTAATTTATTAGTATTATTATGTAATGCATTCTGAATTACAATTGACTAATCTGAATCGCAATTGACGTTTTTTGAATTACAATTAACTAATTTGAATTAAAAGTTACACTTTATGAATTACATTTTACTAATCTGAATTACAAGTTGCACTTTCTGAATTACAATCGAAAAAGGTGTAGAGTTCCTAAATGTACTTGACACTGCTGTTTTGACGTTTTTTGTATATTAGAGTACGGACACTATGACAAGCACTGACAATCAGACATAACCACAAATTAATTGATGGAAAAAGCAGGAACTGACATATGGGTTGCGTGCAAGAACTGTCAGATAACCGACGCTGGAGGCACAACATTGAAACACAACCTCACTTTTCTGATTTCTTTACAAGTGATTGAAATAGTTTTCCATAATTATTTTGGCATACGAATCGTATTTTTCGGCTATTCATCAATTCGCTCTTGCCATCACATTGTGCTGTTGTAAAATGCACGAAAACTGCAGCGGAAGACGAAGGAATCCAAAAGTCACTACTATAGTCACTCACATATAGTTTTCATTTTTGAAATTTGGTAATTTTTCTGATGTCTCATCGGAATTCCTTCTGCAATAGGAGCTAATAGAAATACACGTGAAATTTGTAAATTAATGCAAGAAGATTGGATTCATGCAATCTATCGGGAGGACTGGTCTGACATGCTGACGATCGTGTGTGTTGTAGACATTTTCAATCTATTAGCAGTATTAGCTTGTATTGCAGAAGTGGCATAAGGCAGAAGGAATTTTAATAACGAATGACAAGATTTCATAATGAAAACTATGTGATTGTTTTATATGTATGACAAAATGACATTTATCATACAGGGCGTGGAAAGAAATTCTGAATTGAGAAAAACCCAATCACGAATCTGCGATTGATGGTCTATAAAAATAACAAGTTTCCATCGTTCAAGTTTGAACCCCTTGATTGGGTATGAAAGTATTGAAAAGGAATATTCTCAGATATATTATAAACATGAAAAAATGGATACATTTGAATAAATACATTGAGAATTCGCATTCTCTATGTGATGAAATTATTAATTCTTTCTCGGCATATTCAACAGAAAACAACTACTTTCCTGGCTATATGCCACGACGAACATTGAATTATATCAATTGAAAGAGATGTGCATATATCCCAAACATCATGGATACGGATGATTTTTGATAAATTCACGACTCAACAAGAACAGAGTATGTATACTAGTATATTTCTCCCATACATTCCAATTTTCATACCAATTTGGTAAGTAATATATTTTTTATATCGTTATATTCATCATAGTATTCATCCGATTCTGGAAGAGAATGTCAATTCTCAATTTCAGACGATATTCATTTTATGCTCAAATTCCTATCGTGTATGTTCAATTGATATAATTCAATGTTCGTCGTGGCATATAGCCAGGAAAGTAGTTGTTTTCTGTTGAATATGCCGAGAAAGAATTAATAATTTCATCACATAGAGAATGCGAATTCTCAATGTATTTATTCAAATGTATCCATTTTTTCATGTTTATAATATATCTGAGAATATTCCTTTTCAAAACTATGTGAGATTACTATTCACCTGAAAAATCATATTCCTTCGTCTCGCTGCATTTTTTTTGCATTGTACAACAGCACAATGCGAAGGCATACTTGAATTAATGAATAGCGCAAAAAACTCGATTCATATGCCAAAATATTGTGAAAAACTATTTAAATCCTTTGATTCCTCTGTAAACAAATCAAAAAGTGAGGTTGTGTTTCAATATTTTGCCTCCAGGGTCGGTTATAGTGCACGCGAATGAACTGAAAAAATATATTATAGAAATAATGTATATAGTAAAACAACGGTTGCGAGGTCTTTCAGTTACTAATATAGATGAAAACAAGTTGATTGCAAAGAAGTTAATAAAATATATCATATTCTATCTATATCAACTGAACAGAAAGCAATGCTATTGTCTCCGTTCAGAAGAATGCAAGCAGATTCCTTGATTTTTCTCTTCTGGTTGTTACACTTTCTGAATTACATGAGGAGAGAAAATGCCAAAAAATCTGGAATAATTATTTAATTTCTGTGACGGGAAAAAAGTTTGGCATTTCATCTCTGTTGGCAGGTTATAAAATGTCACTTTTCATAAATTACTTTTTTCCCGTGGAAAAAAGTGAGTACTTTTTTCCGGATATATATCACATATATATACACTGTTGATGGCTTTTGTTGTGCTATATTTCCGAAAAATGAGTCAATAATACCGTCTCCGAGAAAGAACTGCTAGTCTTTTAATCTTCCATTCGACTACGCGGTTACGTATATTACTAAACAACCACTAAATTCGCAATTTTTTGAGATCAAATCACAGAATTAGACTGAAAGAAGTGACATCAGATATTTGATTACTTCATAAGAATGATAAAGATGCCTACAACGCAGGTGTCCCTACTGTCAAAAACTTAAAATTTCACGTCGATAATTTTCAGATTTCAAAATAATGTAATATCTTCTCAATATTGATTCGTCTTTTCTTCTGTCACAGAAAAAAAATAGTGTATTATACACGGGAAAAATATTAGACACAACCTGGAGCTAAAATCTACTACTTTTTTATCTTGTATAATAAATAACTATTTAATGTTCCCTGTTATAAACATCTACGTCAATTGTTTCTTGGGAATAATAAAGATGATGATGATGGAAAAAAAAACGGAGCCCTATGAAAGTAACGAAAATTCCTTTGGTGAACCTCGCTTATCGACTTGATGAATTTTAGCCACCAGTGAAGGAAGTATACCGATGACGCAAGACGAGGAACTGCATTTGATTGAGTTAGATCAGGGAGACGGGTGGACTAGAGTACGACGAATCGACGTCGATAACGAAGAAGGTTTCGTACCGACGTCGTACATTGAATGTACGTTATTCAACACTTAAAAGCCATAGTTTTCGTGTATGGGTCGAACTAACTAAGCGAAATTGAATATATTTTTGTAAATTATTTATGCAATATTTAAAAAAAAAGGTTGATGTTTTTTCTTTTGTTTTTACTGTACATTATATATTTTTATATCTATATGAATCAAAATTCGCCACTTTTTATTTAGTGATTTATGTTGTTGATGTTTTTGTACCAACAATAGTCCAGCACGTGGGGGTTATTTTGAATGCAAAAGGTGGGATGGTAGCGATATTTTATCATCTTGTTAGGTTTCAGGCCCTTATGAAAAATCCATGTTTTCGACCTCGAGGCGCATGCGCTCGAAAGCTATCTTGGATTTTAGTTAAAAAATCCTTTTTTTGATAATAACTCAATAACGGTGGCTTTCACGACAAAACATGTTCTATATAATGTTGAAGAAGACATAATTTCCTACATTTTTTGTGGTTTTCCTAATTTCACAGCAGAGCAGTTCAAAGATTTTCAACATCTTAATTAGCTCATATTTCAGAGGGTTGTTCATGAAAGATCATTATTTTTTCATTTATCAGTGGACGAACTGGAACTAGTTGTCATGATATGGTGAGATTTCGAAAAAGCATCCCCAAAAACGAAAAAAAAAAGGTTATGAGATTCGTCACTACGTAAGATCATGTTTGTTAATGGAGCCTCAGATACACCCATGGATATCGAGTGAATTCAAATGAATAACAGATCTGAATATTCATTTTTATTGATAAAAACACAGAAATTCATTCCACTTGTACAATCCTCCTTTCAGTACCTTGATATACGTCACCCAAGATATTTTGTGACATACGTCACTTTCGACATTTTCAACACATAGTGAAAATATATCTCATGTACTGACGTAACTCCTATAGTTAGGTCACTTCGTGAGATTCGGTAGTCCAATAATTTGAGATAGGCTGGGTATTAGATTTTCAATTGCACGAAAACCATTGAATATTGAGTTACGCCACTTTGTGAGATCATGAAGTACAAGAATATAAATCACTTGACGAAGTATCTCAGATTCCGATTTTTATTAGATACGTCATTACGTGAGATATGACCCACGATATGTAAAGAGTTGCAGCTCCGTGAAATTACACTATTTGAAAAAAATGCAGAAACTTCATTTTGGTTGAGTAATTTGAGTTTCATTTTATTATTCTCATTATAAATCATTATATTCTTACAAAATTATGGAAAAATAACTGAAAGCAACTTTAAAATTATCAATTGACAGTATTTTACTTTTCGTGAACAAAGTTAAAGGCGAAAAGTAAGAATATCGCTTTTTTCAATTCAAGAATAGTTAATTATGATTTTAGAGCGTTACAACAATTGATTTTTACTACATTTTGGGACGTTCTGATAGTCTGGGTTCGTTATTGTCGGTGTCCTGGTCGTAGTTGTCTGTCCTAATCATAGTTTTGGTCCGTATAGCCGGATTATTCTAAGTGAAGTCCATTCACAGGAAAGCTTTAGGATATTGTGTGATGAATTCATTGAAAGTCTGAATTTCCTCAATTTAGGTATTGTCGAAGAGATATTAGGGATGAAAATTTTGGAGTTATTTCCTCATTCTACTATACCTATTTTTATGAAATTCTCATTTTTCCCATATTTATTGATGGAAATCACATTCCCAGTGCATTCAAAAATAACACGATTGTTCCCTTGTTTGGCTAGATTCATGTGGACATTTTCAGTGAACAAAATGGCTATGCTAGTTTAGTTTGGCCCAAAATGGTAATTATTCCCTTCATCTTCTAAGCGATTCATTTATGACCCCCTATCAATACCGACTAGACAGCAACTGTGCTCTATTTAAGTGTCTATCAAGGTTTAGGGGGCAACCTATTAAATATAAAATCAAAGTGGAGTCTCTTCGAAAATTATCTCGATATGATTTGCATTTGTTCAAATTATTTATTTCAGTTATTAACAGGCAAATAACATAATTTAATACTTTTTTTTTCAAATTGTGCAACTTCACTGAGCTGTAACACCTAACATATGTGCCCCACAAAAATGTTTTGCATAAATGTAGGAAAATTTGTTCTCTTTACCTTAGTTTTGAACATCTTTCGTCGTGAAAGCCACAGTTTTTGAATTATATAAAAAAAAATGCTTGTACCGGGTGTACCACTAAGAAAGGACGCCGGCTGTATTTCGGAAACTATTTGCCGCACAGGTTTCGGAAAAAAATATTCATGTTGAAAGTGTCCAAGAAAAATCTCTGGAAATTATTTTCAAGTTTCCAGGACAGCCGCTAGAGGGCATAATTGCATTGGCCAACTTAAAAAACGGGTTTTTATGAAAATTTGATATATCAAGACATATTAAAAACACTTTTTCTATGTTCTCGAGTTGATTTCCAATCATTTCGATAAAAAAATTGCGTTAGCTCATCAAATAAAAGAGGGTGGGAATGATGAATAGTACTTTGAAAAAACTCTCATTAATACAGTTTGGTGTAACGGAATTCAACGATCTTGGTCTCATTGTGAAGGGTTTCTTTGTTTCTTCCAGATGAATCACTAATCAAGTCGATTTAAGTCCTGTGGTGGCCGCTAGATGGCATCGTTTGAAAAATCAGACGATTTTCCATTTTTTTCGAAAATTCAAATGGAATCATATATTCATTCTACTTCAATATGAAAGTAGAGCAAAGCAGAAAAATGGTGAAAACCGCGAATTGATACCTCTTGAGGAACCGGTGAAATACTCGAAATAATATTATGAAAATATTCACCACAGGAATCTAACTTCAATAATCGTAATCAGAAATATCCTGTATCTATGGAATTATGATTTCAATAATTCATTTATTTTGGTTTCACAAACTGCTGTTATATCTCAAAATAGTGAAGGAGACTCTTAGTAATTAAAGCTAATTGAAATGTAAGTAGTGAGTATAGGCTCAGGAATGAGAAAAGGCAAGTTGGCTTCGAATGAAAGAAACGTCAAAATATAATCGAAGTTCCATTGGAAGTTTTCACTGTTCATTGTGGATTGCTTATTTGTCAAAATGCCGATAACGAATGAGGAGGCATTTGACAGTTTAAATTTTAATATTATTCCGAGTATTTCTCCGGTTCTTCAAGAGGTATCAACTCGCGGTTTTCACCATTTTCCTTCTCGTTCACTTTACTTTCATATTATAGCAGGAAAAATATATGGTTCCATTTGAAATTCTCGAAAAAAAAATGGCAAATCGGCTGATTTTTCAAACGATGCCATCTAGCGGCCACCACGGAATTTAAATCGACTTGACTCGTGATTTATCGTGAAGATCTGAGAAAACTCTTCATAATGAGACCAAGATCGCTTAATTCCGTTACATCAAACTGTAGTAATAAGAGTTTTTCCAGAGAACTATTCATCCTTCCCTCCCTCTTTTATTTAAAGAGCTAGCGCAATTTTTTTTTGGTCGAAATGATTGGAAATCAACTCGAGAACATGGAAAAAGTGTTTTTGACATGTCTTGATACATCAAATTCTCATAAAAACCTGTTTATTGAACTGGCCAATGCAATTACGCCCTCTAGGGGCTGTCCTGGAAACTTGAAAATCATTTCCAGAGATTTTTCTTGGACACTTTTATCCGAGATACAGCCGGCGGTCTTTCTTAGTGGTACACCCGGTACATAAAATCCAAGATGGCGGTTCTGGCGCATGCACCTCAAGGTCGAAAACTTGGATTTATCATTAGGGCCCCAAGCCTTACAATATACTAAAAAATCGCTACTACCCTACATTTTGCATTCAAACACCACTATTCGATATGCCCCCACGTACTGGACTATGAAGACAAATGCTAATTATGTAATATTGGAATTTTATTGCCTTAGCAATATTGTTGAATTAGGCAAATTAGTGTTCTATAAATATCGGCTTAGCACAATTTTGTTTCTCGAGAGAGAATATATTCATGATGTATTTAAAGAGAATTCTCAACTCCTGTATATATTATGCCATTTATACTAATCTGCTGTTTACTTTCATTAATTTCATCAATTATTGTCATTGTAATATATTGAATAATTGATTTATTTTAGTGATTCCGTTTCTACAAGAAAGTATTAACTTCCATATTATATTTTATATCACGAGAAAGGAAAAGATGAAGAGAATAAACATCTAATATCAGTAACTGTAATCCTATATTTATTGAATATATTTTAATTATATTTGATGTTGTAGAGTTGTAACTGTGAATAAAATGGATCATTTATTTCTGATCTGCCTTGGCTTCATCAAAGCTTTCATATTCATATTTATTGAAAATCAAATCATGAAAATATTTGGGATGCACTCTTGCTGTTCCACTAATCAATATACAGGGTATGTCACGACGAGCCTACACTATCTTAATATCGAGAATCAGTAGGGAGAAATCCATGAAAATGTGCATGCTTATATTTCGGAATATTTTCGACAATGCACTGTTGCCGCTTCTACTAGAAAGTAGTAGCAACATTGGTATTTATAATGGAACACCCTGTATTTTCTCGCATTTTCAGATTCTCCCTGAAGAGCTTATTTTATCGGTATATCACACGATGGGTCTATCGAGAAAGATTACAGAGATATAGGGTGTTGAAAATTGAGATATTTCAACTTTAGAGTTTTTTGGGTCGAAACTATTCATCAATGGTCAAAACGGCTGAATCAAAAGTTGAGATAGGGACTTGTGAGCCGTTTCGGCCGATAATAAATAGTTTCCTCACAAGCAAATCCTAAAGTTGAAAAATATCGATTATGAACACCCTATACAGTGTGTCCCACTTACCATGCTCACCATGGGTATCTTTTTAACGGTGAAAGATACGAGGTCGGTTAAATGACACCAAATGTGGAGTTTGTCAGGGCCAACTATAATGTGAAAAAACATTTTGATAAAATGTATTCGTTTTTGTTTTATACGCAAAAAACAGATTTTGATCATTTTCATGTCTCCTCCGTAACTTCTTTATTTATGAAAATATTCAAATAGGAATTTCACATTCTCATGGCAGTTTTTCAAAGTGATTTCGAAAAAAATATGAAATTCATACCAACTCTTCTAGAATTTGAGATATCAGCACCAACTTTAGTTTTTCAAATGTAGGTGATAGCTCACTATGACTTAGTTACGAATAACTTTTTTTTCTCTTACAAATGATATGTCGCAGTAATAGTTTTGTGTTGATAACAACGGAGTTATCGTCATTTATACAAAAACAAAAAATTATTTGGATGCCGCCGTCTGGAATTTATAAATTTCAACAAAAAAATCATGATCTCCGACCTCAAAAACCCCCACTCACCAATTATGAAAGACAATACATTATGGAATTTTTGTTGAAATTAAAAAAAGTGTCTGCTCTAAGATGGCGGACTAGATTTGGTCCGATTCCATTCCAAATTGGTAAGTGGGGGTTTTTGAGGTCGGAGATCATGATTTTTTTGATGAAATTCATAAATTCAAGATGGCGGCTTCCAAATAATTTTTTGTTTTTGTATAAATGACGATAACTCTGTTGTTATCAACACAAAACTATTACTGCGACATATCATCTATAAGAGAAAAAAAAGTTATTTGTAACTAAGTCATAGTGAGCTATGATCTACATTTGAAAAACTAAAGTTGGTGCTGATATCTCAAATTCTAGAAGAGTTGGTATAAATTTCATATTTTTTTCGAAATCACTTTGAAAAACTGCCATGTGAATCTGAAATTCCCATTTGAATATTTTCATAAATAAAGAAGTTACGGAGGAGACATGAAAATGATCAAAATCTGTTTTTTGCGTAAAAAAACAAAAACGGATAGATTTTTTCAAATATTTTTTCACATTATAGTTGGCCTTGACAAACTCCACATTTGGTGTCATTTAACCGACCTCGTATCTCTCACCGTTAAAAAGATACCCATGGTGAGCATGGTAAGTGGGACACACTGTATATCTCTGTAATCATTTCCGATAGACCCCAAGTGTGATGTATCGATTAAATCAGCTCTTCAGGGAGAATCTAAAAATCCAATAAAATACAGGGTATTCTATTCGAAATAACAAAGTTGTTGCTACTTTTTGGTAGAAGCGGCAACACTGCATTGCTAAAAAAATTTTGAATGAAAAGAGCTCATTTCAAAATATAAGCATGCATATTTTCATAGATGTCTCCCGTGACATACTCTGTATTTATGTATAATAAAAATAATTCTGATTTTTTTATACATTTTTCGATTTTGTTGTCAGTCAGTTATTTTCAGTTCTCACCACATCTGACAATTAGCAAATAATTTATTCTTTTTGTCTCAATATGGTGCTATAGTTCTTA